GCACACTACAAACCAATTCAAACAATGCAACCAAACAATATAGACCAACCAAACTATAATTGTAAAGACATTAAGATGACTTCACTATCAAAGATGTTGACACTTATTTTGGACTGATTCGTTTACAGTTACATGGTTTCAGGAAACCTACATCAAGTACAGTACAGTGCATATTGCATGATGCATCCACACAGTGCAGTAAATAAACATCAATTATTCATCTGTATGGTTTAAGTTTTACATATGGTGATATGTAATTATTTTATCTGCATGTTTTTATTTTATCTAATTTATTTTTAATGTGACCTATTGCTGATGAGATGCCAGTGAGTAAAACAACATAGACTCACGAAAGCATGCAAGAAAAACATGAATAATATTGGTCTATTTAAGTGTAGAAAGTCTGATGATGAGCAGTCAGAAATTCACTTTTCAACTTCTCCAGCTTGTATAAAAGCAGCCATCCAGCAAAATGGACTTTGTCCACTGATTTCAATAAAATGCACTAGGAGTCAGAATAATCAACATTCAAGACTCTTAAAGATATCACAGATGTGAAGTACAGCCTGTAAAATGATTTGGCTGTGCAGAGACGTGACATTAACAACATATGGGAGAAACTTGGATCCTGTGCATATTGAGAAATCTGCTACTTTTGATGCCTAATGAAGGTCCTTGACTGAAGTGTTTACCTCCTAGCTACAGATTTTGATGCAGGTGTGCAGACAGCCTACGCTTTTATTATCAACACTGCAGGTCGATGTGAATGTAATATCCTGTTTAGATTTAATAATCTGTTTAAGATATGTTCCCAGCTATGAGAAGCCCAAACAAAAAGCTCAATATGGGCATCTCAGGCTTTGTTTAAGTACATGTCTATAGTATATATGACAATAGACCTTGACACAGAACTGAAAAAAGGTAGCAGTTGTGGTAATTAAAGGATAGGGCTTGCCAATCAGAATAAGGTTACAAATCAACTAATCAGACTGCGGCTACAAACATAGTACCATTTTTCAAACCTGTGGGCAATGTAGCTTTTAACAAACATCACTCAAACAGGAGTAAGAAGTGTGGATTGTTGGGGACTATTTTAATTGCAGATAAACACGTATTGTTGCATTAATGAGTATTTAATGCAGCAGGATCATTTATTTGGGATTGACAGTGGCTCAAAATAAACTACAGTGCCCATGATCATGACAATCAAGGGGCATGTCACTTGGTGCAATGCTGTGGCTCATTAGTGTGTTTCTAATATTTTTTGGACAAGAGAGGAGGTCTGGCACAGAGGAATAAGTAAATCAGATTCTGGCTACATAGACAATAATTACAGTTGGTAGGATATGAACCATTCATTGTGGTCTTTTCATGGGATTTGCCAATATGAAAAATATAAAATATCACCCACCTTATCTCTTAATGAAATTTATCTGGTTTCTTGTTACAGATACTGCCCTTCTTGCTAACAGTTTGTAATAATTATATGTAGAGCCCGAAAAAAATTCTGATATCGATATATTGGCAAATATATCGATATATGTATATATAATATATATAAACACAAAAAGATATGTAATAAAAGCAGGATATTTGACAGTTTACCAGGATATTTTACAGTTTAACAATAAAATGACAACAGTGCACTGAAACGGTAAATTTCTCAGAGAATTAAATAAAATAACTATAAAAATAAATAACTATAAATAAAAAACATAAGACCAAATATGTATATAATACACTGTTGCTCATAAAGTTGGAATAAAATATTTTTTTCCTTTCTCCATGAAATGATTGTGACAATGTGATTTATTTCATTTCACCTGGGTAATTGGACACATAATGTAATCATTGCACCTGGTCAAAAGTGATTACTGATGCATTTATTTGAATATATATATATATATTTTTTTGGCTTTTTATGCCTCCATGATAGCACAGTAGAGAGAGACAGGAAATGGGGAGGCAGAGAGAGGGCGAATGACATGCAGTAAAGGGCCATCTGATGCGGGATTCGAACCAGGGCCGACTGCAGCGAGGACTGTTGCCTCTACATATGGGGCGCCTGCTCAACCCACTGCGCCAATTTATGCCCCTACTGATGCATTTAAATAGGAATAAACAGAGGATTGTGTCTGAAAACAGAATTATTCCAACTTTATGGGCGACAGTATATATATGTATTTAACTTGAATGAAAACAAAGGATCAAATATACATAAAATGCTGCCTATATAACGTGACTTGACCCGAGCATTTCCACTGCATCATTGCTTCTTAATAAAAGTATTCATATCAGCGCATATTGGAGAATATATGTGCCGATACCTATATATCTGTGATAGGCCAATATCACCCGATTTAATCGGCCGACTGATAAATCGGCCGGGCTCTAATTATTTGGCATAAAAAGATGTGAAAAGTATGTGAACTTTCATATATACTGACAGAGTAACCAGTCAGAATTTCTGATGCCACGAGCCTCTGAGAAATGACTGAATCAGTCAGGTAATGGATCTGAAGCACTGGAGGGCACACATCACATTTAAAATTTTCTCTGAAACAGACTTAAATTACCTCATAATGGTGTATTTTAGGGAAAGGAGTAAGTCTCCCTTCACATCACCATAGTAAATGGTGCACCCATCATCTCTGAATAATTACTGATCCCCTGGTATCTGCTGGATAACAAACTCCACTGGGACAAAGGGAATTAATCAAACCAGCAAGAAAGGTCAGAGAGGGATAGCACATTGTCTAAGCAGTTTTATGTTCTTACACTGTTTCATCTGTATCATGTTGTGTGAGTAACAAACTGCATTATTATTTACATTCCAATGCAAGACACTTATAGTATATGTAATTTTTTAGATCCCCCCCAACTGCTACAGTAAATCACCCCTAAAATATCCCAGAAAAACTCATCTAACACTTGCATCAAAGCAGGACTGACATCTGCCACCTTTCTGTTGTCACACTCCTCTGGCTGCAACAGCTGCTGGATTGACACTTTGACTTGACAAAGCAGCTAAAAGTCAGTCAAACAGTCAGTCAGAGACATGTGGACACTGACAGACAAAACAACTACAACCAAATTATGACTGGGGCTTGTTTCTATCTGCGTTGTTGGTTATTGTGTATGGAACTTTCCCCATTAACTGAACTCAGTACTCACATTACATTAAAGAAATATAAAAATAGTTTAATGTTAACCAGATCACGAGTGATCTTTTGAGTGGTTTGGATTACTTCCATACATTCACTTTTTATTAAATGGCACATTACTGAAGGCTGTATTAGGTTGAATTAATGCTCTGTCCTATACAGTATGTATGTATAATGTTGCTAAAAAAGCAGTAAGTAACCTTTACTTGAAGTGTTTTGCTCAAGCTGTAGTTTGTTCATCTCCTGTTTAAAAGCAGATGACCAATGAGAACGGGCTCTCCAATGCCACCACCACCAAGTTTTCAATTTGGCAGTACTCCTAAAACCAGCACCCTCTCAGTACCAGCAAGGAAAAATCTCCATGGCCACCATAGCTCAGGCTGAACAGGCTCTGTATGTTTTAAATAGCAGCTGTAAAGCACTATAACTCAGCCTCTCCTCTGTACTCATTAAAAGAGAACATTTTAATGGACATATCGGCTCCCCAGGGACTTCATTTTACTCCCATGTCGGAAATAGAGAAACACTTCCCCCTCAAAGCAAATAAATACAGGAACTCTTAAGTCCTAATAGCCAGTGATGCTGTTAAATAACGTGTGGGCATATGAGATGGATCGTTATTAAATGAGCATCATAGCTTACACCTGCTTGCATTTGTAGCTACAGTATGTAATCGTTACTGCACTCCAAGCAGAGTGACTGTGCTCATGTTCCTACTGATGTCAGCTGTATCTTTTGACTGCGTGACCAGTAGCTCGTATGTTGTCTGTGTCGATGCCTCCTTCTTTCTAATGGAGCTCTCATAGAGATTAAATTTTGCATTTGTAAGACACTTGTCTAAGGTAAATACTGCAAAGAAGCAGTTTAGTTTTTGTGTTTGGAGCTGCTACAACTGTATGTTGTGTCCACAAAGTTCTGGATGACTCTTTATACTTAAAAATGTAATTGTTTGTTTCCGGTGTCAAAAGTTTCTTTCAGTGAATGAAAAATGGTTAGTCTCATTTAACTGCAAGATAAATCATATTAATTTCTTTCTAAACTTACTAAACTTATTTCTTTATTTGCAGCTACATGTGCCAGTCAGGCTGTCTGGTGTTATAATTTCCTTTACAAAACTAATCATGGGAGATTTTATTTCAAAGGTTAAATTGTAATAGATACTGATATTACACATTGACATCTGTTAGGATAAACTGATCTCTGACCATATCCTTAATGTTTCAGCTGATCATATTACTCAGCCCTGAGTACATCTTGTATCCACTTTGATTTTCATGCTGTTAAGCTCTAATATCAAATTACCCACTATCCATGTTCATACAGGTGTAAGGTTGATCTGATATGTGAAGATGTCAAGGGCCAGATTTCCTCATAAATATATTATATTCCAATTAAAGTATGTATGTTGAAGAATTATCTGGATTTCAAAACAGACATCCATCATCCATCATTGTGTTTATTGAAGCTTGTGTATGATTCAAGCTTAGAGTATGTTATGAATCAAGAAAACCTCGTCACTACGACTGTAAATCTGTTTGGTGATTGAATTGGGGATATTCAGACTTCTTTTTTTTTCAGTAGCACTGTAAGTAATTAGGGTTATAATTCTAATGTCTTATTTCACGTAATTTTGAAAGTTATCACCATTATTCCAATAATCTATACAAATACCCACTTCTGCAGCTATATTTACGCTACAGCGAAGCTCATATGACCATTGTCACAATTTATGTATGTATTATGCTGACAGCCGAGTGTATTGTGCTGTTGTATTAGTGTTAGGTATTGATCAGCAGTTTACATAAATATGTGTGTGTGTGGGGGTGTGTGTCATACCTTGACAGGAGAGATATGTGTGTGTGGTGTGTAGCCATGTATGGCCTCCATGGCAGCAAGGTTCTTGTCACTCATATGAAGCATCTCGGCACTTTTCCCAGGAGCCAGATGTGCTGGACTGTGCTCCAAGGGGGGCGTCTCCTCATCCTGGTACCTGTACTTCTACAGACACACACACAGACACAGACAAGGCTATTAGTCCCATCGGGTCTCATTTATAAGAAGCAGATGTCAGTGTATTTTATTAAAAGCAGAGAACAGTCATTGTGTTTATAATGTTTAGATCACAAACAGAATCCACTGCCTCATTATTGTACCCTCTCATTGATGTCTCATCTCCCATACTGACACAATGACAAATTCACCAAGCACACAGAGCAGTATTTCCATCACTGATGAATCCTCAGCCAAATGTGGACAATCTATATGCATATCTGGTATATCACATAACATGTGTGACGCCTACAAGTGCAAAGTGAAGGCATGATAGAAACAGAGCCTCAAAATATTGCCATTGTGCATTCAGCAAAGTGATCGTCCTCCACAACCACATGGAGCAACTAGAGCCATGACTCATAGCAGCTCTACAGTAGCAGATCATGCAGCTTCTTCCTAGTAACCTTACTCCCCTACCGATATCCCACACCTGGGCAGCCTGCCAGCAGCCCACTGTGTCAGCCACACATGGTAGGTTTCATTCTAGGCGTGATGACACAAAATCTGTACACAGCATTTTCCATCACAAACACATCAGAAGGTGGGCAGCATCACAGTGGAGATCTGCCACACTGTCCTGTGGGTTAGCGCTTGTATTTTTGCTACAAATCTGTACTCCCCTAAAGCCCCTCAGGCTCACAATATGCCCTGCTGCACTGCAGATGTGAAGCAGTCCATTCTGAAAACGGAGAAATTCGGTGGGATCATCTGAATTTTGGCTGATTGCCGGATGGCCAGCCCTGCCACTCTCGCCTCTCTCTTTTTTCTTTTTGGAGGCAGACGGAGAGGGAGGTGCATCACTGAGCCCTGTCTCAGACAGGCTGCCTAGCAACCAGAGCAGAGCAGAGATTGCAGTGCCACAGTTGGGGCTGCCAGCGTCGGTCCTGGATCACATTACACTGAGACAGCAAGAAAGAGAAGGAGTGAAATAGAGATGAAGATAGAGGAGAAAGTCAGGGGGATGGGTAAAAATGAAAAAGTGAGAGCGTCAATAAAGGGAAGCAGAGAACAGAAGCATGGGGGTGAACAAGAGAGAATGAATAGTTGTTGATAGCAGTGAACTGAACAACTGCTGGTTAATTATTATTTCTATATCAGTAAACTCTACAAAGTAAGATTTTTATTAAATAACAGCATGCATTAGCCTAATCTGGGAAAGATTAGTAAATAACATGAATCACAGCTCAAAGTAGCCTGAGCTTTTCGTTCTCTACTACCTCCCCCTTTCCTGCATGACCAACATTCATGCTGCCATGTTGCCTTCTGCCCTGCTGGAGGGGGATGTGACCGTCACTGCTTAAGATATGTTACAGTGTCATTTTGGAGAGGGCTTTAGGTACATTACTTTATACTAGTACAATGTTTGTTGCCCAATATAACACAATGGGCAAAACCTTAATGTTCAAAAATACCGACGTGATACATTCGCTCTTGACTAAAAAGCTTCTTTTTCATCTGTTCATCTGTGATATCAGGAGCTGAATTATGACAAATGCAAATACTATTGATAAATGTGGTGTTAAAGGAGCTTTTTTCAAACACTTCTCACTGAGAGCTGAATTCTGGCCAGTCAGTAAAAGGACGCTGAACTCCTGGGTATCATCAAAGTTCATTACAGTTTCCCAGCTGGTCTAACCAATGTGGAGGAGTATATAGTGAGCTCATCTGTAAAATGAAAAACACTTTCGGACGCTACTGGGGTCATCTTCTCTGCCCTTTCAGCATGAGCGCAATGCATGATGGTATATATTGCTTGGTTAGTGACCATCAGTTGTACACTAATTTTCATGATGCATTGTGGGATACTATGATTCCACTATTTAGGGTATAATTTTTCTCACTATACATTCAGACAGCACTACAAAATGGCTCACTATATGGCACACTATAAACTCACTATATAGTGGACTACATAGGGAGCAGCGAGCGATTTCAGACAGAGCAGTGATCTTTCAGATGCCTCTGATTCAAAGGTTATGATGAGAACAGGCAGCTTTGAGTCCTGAGACTCAAAAAAGTAAATTTCTGTTCAAGAGGATGATGCCTTGAAGGCTAGTATGCTTGTCAGATTGTCATATAGCTTCAGAAACCCCCCACATCTTTCCAACGCTGAATAAGGGGAGTGTGTGGGCCGGGTTATACTCCATCAGAACCAGGTTGTACGACCATGTTGGAAATCAAAAGTGTATAGTTTTTCGGAGCAGCCACACTCGACACTCTTGAAAATCTGGCCATCATAGAGAGGCGAAAACGTGATATTGTTTAAATGTAGGGATAACGGACCCGTGAGTCAAGGGATTTCTGTGACTTTCCAAAACCGGCTACAAACTACTACTCTTAATGCCGTGATTGGCCATATGTGATGGAGGTTTTGCTCTTTTTCTTTTCAACTATTTCTGTCACTTTTGATATGAACAGCAGCGTATAACACTACGAATGCTGTCAAGGAGAGACATGTGAAAATGTGTGCTGTTATACCCATGTTTAAGTGATATTGCATCTCCCCACTCTCTGTGATGGCTGGCTTTTCACTCCGCCTTTGAGTGTTACCGTTTGGAACAACTATAAACACTTGTGATTTCAGACATGATGGTGGAACGACACATTGTACAAACCAGTTCTGTTTGAGCATAGCCCTGCCCGTAGCGGTTACCTTTCTGATGACAAGTACAACAGGAGTTATATTTTTCCTGTCGATACATTTTTACGCAGGTTCATACCTGCAACATTTTCACTAGTATAGGGATAATGCCAAACACACAGAAATTGCTTTGTTACACAGTAATGTTGCACCACAGGTAAAAAGTGAGAAAATCATATCAGAATTCATATTTTAAAAAACATTAAAATGTAACTCTAGAAAGGATGAATTTACACTGACTAAAAAAATGTGCATAACACAGGTCTGGGTAATAGAAGGGTCTGTAATCCCTCATTTACAACTGTGCACTTCATTTTTGTGATATTATATCATCTATTTAGCATCTATACAACTACTGCACAGAACTGTACTCCATGTAGACATTTTTTCACAAGTGCCTTTTTTGATACTGTTTAATATTGTTTTTTCAGGCTGAACGCTATGCAAAAAAAATCATATTGCGATTATTTTTGTCAGATATTGCAATTGTGATATGAATTTCAGTTGGAATGATCCTGTTCCCTTTCGTCTGGAGAATATGACTTGTAGGCCGGGGATCTCTGTAGCACCACAACGCACAACGAATGTGACACTTCTTACCTTTATCAAAAAATTGCAGCTGCTTTAATTTGGTTACTGCACTTGGCCATATTGCGATTTCGATTATATTTCGATTATTTGTGCAGCCCTAGTTTTATGTTATCTGGTTAGAGGCAATAATTATGCCTCTCTGCCTGAAAACTAGTCTCGTTCACTTTTTGTATGATTTTAAGCTGTACAACTAAACATATTAACTGTTATCATACCCTTTAATCTGTCTCAGTAAGGTCCTATGAAACCCAACGGTATTACATTATTGCATTAAAAGGCCTTAAAAGTATTAAGGCTGTTAGCAAGATTATTTTCTTTACAGTGTAATGAGAGATTAAAATTCAAGACATTATTTTTTTTTTTAATGCAACCTCTACCTGGCTGGAATGCATCAATAACTTGGCAGTATTTTTGAATAGAAGGGCAAAAAAAAGAAAGAAAAAAGAAATTTCTATTCTTAGGTTGTAATACATTGTATACACTCCCATGTCCACAATTACATTAACACAGGGCTGGATAAATACATGCAAAACTCGCACAATATGATATCATATCATGAATATGATATGTTTTAATAAACATCATTAGACAACAGTCCAATTGGAAATTTGTTTTCCTGAGGTCCTTATCTCACAAGCAGGGGGGTTATAACAGGCTAGAGCAATTAAAATCTGCTTGTAACTGTACAAACAGCCTCCCAAATTACCTCTGCAAAAAATACCTCCGGGTTTCCCAGGCCTTTATTGTATCAGTATATCATGGAAAGCTACTGGTACATCTTTAAGGAATTACTCTGTTGTAAAGGTCAATGGAAGGAGTCTCCACAGTTCTACTGTTATTTCTTTACTGTATTAAGAACGACACACTGTGGGGCTGAATAAGCTGTTCCTTTAATGGTTAAATGAGTTAACTTAATGTAGAGCAAATGTCAAATACTATCTACCATCATCTCAGTTTGTAATTCAAGGACCAAGCTTGAGCTTTTAAATTACTGTGCATTAGGTAATGGAACGAAAGCTAACCTCATCTCTCAGGCATATAATTTCAGGGATACTTCGACTGCAAATGCACTTGACGTGCAAGGTGTTACATGAACCTTGAGAAGCTCTTCATGTGTAAATTAAAGGTGGCAAATCCCCACTGCATCTTCACAGAATTTAAGCTTTTTCAAGTTCACCTATTTGCATTTTCTTTAATGATAATGAATCCTTTTTTTTTTTTTTTTTTTTCCTATATTTGGATTAATTTTAACATTTCCTACTCAGTTGAACTCAGGGGGGTTTTATGCTGGGTGCTAAGTCTGTATGATGTGTCACAGTGCTGTAAGAATGAACTACATGCTGGAATTTAGTTGAATGCAACACAGTACATCTCAGTGACATAAATCTGGACTGGGAAATGTGCTTGAATTAAAACAAATTTGAAACAGTCTCATAAAGAGATGTTTAAATTATGTGTTTAGATTTAACACAGAGCCAAAGACTGGTCACATTTTCCTATTGTTAATGAATACACAAACAATAATTAATTATCCACAAATACTGTATCCAGCTTTTAGACTTTAACTACTACTACTTAAGCCAATTTCATTGATTTTACCTCTTGCTGTTATATTCTGTAATAACATGCTTATTAGTCATTATTATGTTGCAGTCAGTAGACATAATCACACTGAGACATTTATCTCCTGTATTCACCTGTTTTAGCAGTA